GGTAACGCTACGATTTGCATAATCAGCCGACATCGCAACATCCCACCGGCGCTGCGATCCGATTCGACGACGATTATTATCGACAAAGAAAGTGTTGATACGCTCGTTTTCTCTTACAATCGTACGAAACCTCAGAAAGTTGTTGAAAACGATTCGAGTAAAACCAGCCGAATCGTTGTTCGTTTTTATCATTATCGTTGATAAAGTTAAAAGAAGTAGGTTATTTGAATCTGAAGTGTCACAGAATCCCTATTCTTAATCTTATACAGTCGAACCTCGATAACTCGAATCTCTACAGTCATTATAATCGGAAAATTACAAAGCTTCCGTAAGTCGAATTTTCATATGTTAATCCTTTTTTACTCGAATTTCGATAAGTCAAAAACTTTATAATTCGAAGATATTTTCTCTTCCTTTGAGATTCGAGTTATCGAGGTTCGACTGTATAACGGATTCTTTGACAAATTTAGACTTTTCCTTGAGTAGAATAGAAAATGACGTCGTTGCAAGTTTTTAATATTTAATTCAGAGATTCTCTCGATATTTAAATGTTGAATTAACATTCTAAAGATATGAAAAATTAATTTATATTTAAACCAATAATAAAATCTAATTACTATTTAATTGCATTGAGGAATCTTACAAAATTCAGCGTTTCGATTCTCTTCGGTATACCATTGATATTTTGGAAACGTCATATTTCATATTTCAAAAATTAACTGACGTTGATTCCGACAGGAAGACATAACTTTATTACACTATAAATATCGAGATTTGTCCGCAGCTACGATCGCGATCGTTTAATTAAATCTACGCATGTGCTTCGAGACATGTGGAGTAGGTGGGATGTAGTGTTTATCGTAATTTCCTGCCGAGAAACTCACGTTTGGCGGCCGCAGGCCGTATAAACGGTGCCCCAGGGTTTTATTCGTCTAACTTACACTAATTCGTACGCGCTTGCTGGATCGCCGCGTCTCGACGCGACCTGATCGCGATTCCGATCTATGTTTAGCGAACGTGTCTTAACGCGGGACCGTAGCGGTTGAGAACCGTCGAGGAGCCTGGCGTCTTCAACGAAAACCGAATCTATTTCAGGCTTAACAATGGCCCACAGTTTTCACGCCATCGGTTAGAGCTCCGTTTATGAGATTCAGCTCTCAGAAAAAACGTCTCTCCGTGCCGGAATGCATTCTTCGGTCTCGCCGAGCTCAATATCCCTCTGCAAGTGAGAAAAAATATTCCGCCGGTATCCCACGTTTCAAACGTACAGCTTTCTGAGACAATATCATGTAAAATATTCTATCACGTTAAATCTTTGTGTTTTATACTGTTAGATAACTCTCTCTCTCTCTTTCCCTTTTCTGTGAATATTATCAAATAATAAATAGAATTATTCTAATAATATGCAGTTACTTAAGATGAGATTTGCTTATCTTGAAAGTGGTATATATTAAATCCACTTTTGAAGCTTCATGAATTTTGATGATATGACAAATTGATGTAATAAGCGATAGTAATAGTCACGTAGATTTTAAATGAAATTTCAATGATAAGAAGCTTATGCATTAATACATTCCTAGTCTTTACAGATGAGCTCGCAGTATTGAACTGCCCTCTCGTTCCAGTTCTTATCTGTGTCCGTACGTTTAATGCTTTCTATGATAAGTGGTCAGCGCTACTTTGCTCGTACATCGGAAACCAACGTGATGAATTGTACATATAAGAATAGTAAGTGGAACATCGACCGTATCGCGAGGTCGATGTATGGCGAAATGCATTTCCACGATTTCATTATTAAGTTTTAACTGTTTCTGTGACGTCTGACAGACTCGTCACATTCCCTTGGTTATACGCTATCTCTTTTATCTTCGCTTTTATCTTCGTTATCGAATGTATGTTTTCTATATGTTCCATTGCCGTGCTAATATGAGTTATAAATGATTATGTACGTGAAGTTATAAGGCATAAGTCCCAAAAATATTTTAAGTTCACGAGCTATATTCGAAAGAAGACTTTTTTCGTTTATACATTGCGCGAGGAATTAATCGAACAAATTATTTGTAATACTTTGCAAAGTAATTTATATATTTTGGCAATATATTCTCTATATCTGAATTAGTGGAAAAGTTACTGATTGAGTCAGTAACTATAACCTAACCTAACGCCTTGCATTGCTAATAAATAAGTGAAACAAAGTCGAGTCCGTTGTTGCAATTAACGAGAACAGCGAAGTCCACTGTCAACGATTACAGCGATTTTTCACTTATTTATTAGTGATTTCCGAGAGTCAGTAAAGTTAAATTTTACTGATTACTAGTGACATACTTGGGACTGATATATTCAATAAATAATCATTGATAATCAGCGATTATCCACTGATTTAGATTTAGAGAATATATATGACTATATATGAATATATATGAATATATACTAAAAATATTTAAAATCAATATCAATTCATGGATATCAACAATTGCAGTCCATGGTGAATGCCACGGAACTGTTGAAAACGCTAATTATATATCCGGTAACAGACTTCTGTATTCGCCCGATGCCTCTCGTCCGGCTTTTCGCCAAGTTTTACCTCGGATTTACGCAAAGTTTTTCAATAAGGCCGATTCGCCGCCGCGCACTCCCCCTCCCACGAGAGTTTGTCGTTATTCCATTCTCTCGGTTTCGAACTTTTATTTTTGTGGAGTAGCTTCACGGCTACTAGTAGGGTTCGTCACCTAAAAATGGATTCGAGGGACTCCGCCATTAAATCCGGGCAACGGAGGAACGAATGCCCCCAAATCCGTCGTCCGTAGTCAAATGGATGCTATCTCGTTCGCTCCTCTTTCGCGTACTTTTGCGAAAACTTCGTGAATTCGCCGGGATTGTGTCGCAAGTTTTTCGATAAATTCCCTCGTCCTAAATCTCCCATCGTCCCCCTCGCTAAAAATCACCAACCGTCGTATTTAAGTCCGTATTTAAGTCGTTCTTTAATGCGGGTGTTAATGTCACATATATACGGGTATTTACGGTGATTATTCGCAGTGGTATACGCGTATCTTCCGTCCTTTTGTAAAACATAATGTTGCATAATGTAATACAACACGAAAGTTATGCGACAAAAGTTCATGCGCGTTACAAGCTTTTTACATTAATTCGTGCAGCGTGCGTAATACCGGACGATAAAATATTCTAAATGACTCAGTCTCCAAATATTTTTGCAACTTTATGCTACACGAAATAAATCAAGTAAAACTAAGTGCGTAGTGAATCATGTAAAAATAAATTAAGCTTTGCAGTTCGTTTTCTTTTAATATGTTTACATTTTAATATATTTATATATTGTAATATATTTTAATATATATATTGCACGTCATTTCTATATTGCATCAAATTTTAATATACATACAGCAATCGATCAATTTGTTTATTTGATTCTGTTATATTTGCTTATAAATAATCTCTTTTACACAGATAGTATTTTAGATTCGTACGTATTATTTTAAACCATTTTTGCCTACTCTCTCTCTCTCTCTCTCTCTCTCTCTCTCTCTCTCTCTCTCTCTCTCTCTCACACACACACCCTCCCTTCCATGTTGCCGTATAATTCTCGATTTTTACTGCAACCTACGTGCCTAGAAATTGTTTCGATACTTTGAAATACATTTTCTCTTCGAATATTATTTTCGTGGAGCTTTATTTATTCATATATTTGCCGCTTAAAAATGGAACGAAGAAGCTTATTATTAATCGCAAGCACACACGAAACAAACGTTTTGAAATTCGACGTTGCGGAATGAATACAGCTTTTTCTCGCCTTTTCTAAAGCACCGGATGTTAACCTACGTAGAAATTATCGTTACTCACTTGCCGTTGGATTCACTCCAAGTCGGACAACGACTTTCGGGTCATTCTTTCGTGACCTCTTAAACTAGCCCCCCCCCCCTCACCAGTGCCAAATTAATTTTAAATAGTTAGAAATGAAGTGCTCATTAGGTGCTCAAACCGTTTGGCAGAAAATTAAAAAAAATATTGAGGGGGAGGCTGGCTGGCTTAACATTAAGTTAGCCCCCTTAAAAAAAAAAATTTATTGCGTAAATGAAAAAACAAATGCAGCAGAACTGGCAGCAAAAAAAGTGCTAATTAAGTACTTCAAGAAACGATAAAAATAATTAAAAAATATATTACAGAACTTAGATATCAGTCAAACGGTCGGCTTACAAGAGAGAATTTATCTTAAACAATTAGGTGCTTTGACAAAATTGGTGTTAAAATATATCTTTTTTAATATTATTTAGATACCGAGTCGCCGAATTAGATGATCGTTCCTTTTGACAGAAATTCTAACTTAAACATCAATCGCGCGGTTAGCTGACAAAACAGAAGCGCGATCGATGTTTAAGTTGGAATTTCTGACAAACGGAACGAGCACCGAATTCGGCGACTCAGTATCTTTAAATAATATTAAAAACGAGAGATTTTAATACCAATTTTGTCGAAGCACCTAATTGTTTAAGATAATTTCTCTTTTCTAAGCCGACCGTTTGACTAACATCTAAGTTCTGTAATATATTTTTGACTTATTTTTATCGTTTCTTGAAGCACTTAATTAGCACTTAATTCTGCTACATTTATTTTTTCATTTACACAATAAATATTTTTTTTGGGGGGGGGACTAACTTAATATTAAGTCAACCTCCCCAATATTTTTTCATTTTTCTGCCAAACGGTTCGAGCACCTAATAAGCACTTAATTTCTAACTATTTAAACATTAATTTGGCGTTAGTGAAGAGGCTAGTTTAATAGAGGTTCTGTCGTGGTTCAGGACGAATTTTTGAATTTGATCATATGTCTCTAAACTTTTTCTCAAAATTCGGATACCTGCGTTCACAAGGTCCGGAAGTCCCACAGTTCGCAAAACAGTCTACATGCCCTTTCACAGCTACGAGTGTTCTCAACTTGTTCTAGATAATTTTCATAGTGCATATACATTTATTCATCATTTTTGTATAATGTCATAGTAATCTTTTATTCAATCTTTATTAAAACTTGTACATATTACAATTTAATTTTAAAATTAATTTTTATTTTAAAAGAGTTTAGAGATTTGATAAAAATAAATGAATTATATTACATATGCAGCGTGTGTTTCCTATTCTTGAATTCTCTGTATTTTAAATTTAGATCTACTCCATACTTGGAATAAATAATCCGTGCTGCTTATATTTGGATCCTTTTTGTCACCAGGAAGGAACTGATGAAGGGCGATTTGAAAGACATAGACGCAGCACTAAGCAGCTGTGTAAATTGGCTCGTTTCCTTGAAACTCCTACGTCAGTTGGCCGACGTGAAGCGTGTGTAAATCCATCTCTCTTTTCTGACAAGATCGTGAAACTTTTACAAGCGAACCGCTTGTTGCTCATTCATGTACCGTCACGAAAATTCGAAGGGCTCCCTTCTGTTCCCTTATTTTCCAATCTTCGATCACGCTATCTTCGACAGTTTACTGGTCTTCTCTCGGACTTTATTAATAGATTGATGTTAAGTCTATTATTTAATAAATCGAGCGTGTGACATAAACAAACTGTAATTTCATGCAATTGTGATTTACAAGAGTGAGTAAAACAGATTCGAATCATCACGCGAGCTCAACGATTGTTTTATCGCTTGCCACATAGTAGCAAAAGCAATAATTCTTAGCCACGGATCGTAAACACGTTTGCCATAATATATCATTGAATTGATTTATTGCGATAACTTCGAGGAATCGAAAATCGTTGAAGCGAACATAGCAATATATATATATATTGCTGTGTTCGATTCAACGTTTTTTTGTGATTTAGTATATATTCTTAAAGATAAAATGATTACAATTTTACCAGAAAAATTTATTTTTGATTGATGTGTGTTGATAAAAAGAAAATAACATCCGGACAATATCTTTTCTTTTAATATAAAATATCTGAAATAAAACTACCTGTCATAAACTGTGATTAATCGTAATTTTTTCTCTTACATGCTAATTACACACGTAAATTTTTTTTATAACAAACACTAATATTTTAATGTACTTCTTAATAACTTGCATATTGGTGCAATTAAATACAACTGTAAATTATTATTAAGTGTTAACTAATTATTGTGACGTGACACGTAAGTGATATGATATTGAAGTGTACATTACGGGAAGTAATAAATTTTAGAAAAGGGCGATGAACTCAGGCGGCTGATTTTTCACAGGCTATTTACAGTTCTAATCCCATCGCGGCGATGATAACCCTTATCCGTGGGATAGTTCTCATGCTGTACCCTTGAATTGCATATGCATAATTGCATATGAGGCACTAAGTGACCGACCAGCGGCGTCATTGACACAGACCGTGTCGTCGTCGTGTTGTCGGGTGCGATGCGTATCAACGTAATAGCTTTGCGGTTGCAAACAAGATCCGCGACGATAAATCGTCGAGTCACTAATCGTTAACGAGCGACTTTTGGTCCTCTTATCGGTACTCCGATTTGGCACAGGTCGATGCACCGTCGCAAAATGCCCGCTTATCTGCGCGGTCACGCTTGAACGTACATAAACCTTGGCGAGCGCACGACACGATTTTGCTTTCGGCAGCGTTTACCTTGCATCCTTTCGTGTGGTTTCAAAAGAGTAGAGAAAACTCCAATTAAAAGAGAGAGGTACCTTGATCTTCTCGGAGTCAAAGTAGTGTTTTCAGGGAAATTTGCGTAAATATATTGCAGCAACGAAACTTTAATGAAATACCTTCAATCAAAATGAGAAGTTTTTAATGTGTTATAAATATTTTCTTTGACTAACTTTCTTCTCTCTCTCTCTCTCTCTCTCTTTCTCTCTCTCTCTCTCTTGTGGAACTTATAAATTATATTTAAATTTTACATTTAATTATAAATTTTTATGTGCATATTATTTTGGAACTACATTCCGCTGCAGTTTTTTTTTCCGTTTCAACTTGTTTCAGCCGCGATGATTTCATTTGCCTTCGATATCCACCTCGTCGATACGATCTCGTCGAGTTGCGCAAGGAGAAACTTTCTATCCTCTCTCGCTAACGGTAGGCGCCCATTATTCTCAACGTCGTTTAGACCTCAATCTTGGTAAACGTCCCACCTATAGCCGACGTACACTCGCGCCTGATTCGCAATCGCGATTTCCACTTACATCCCATCAGATCCGGCTCTTTCTTTTTTCCACGGCGCGGCGCGACATCCCGTCGCCGGGTTATTATTCACGGGCTTACCCCTTATGCAACAACTCCCGTGTATCCACCACGTTATCCCTCTGCCACGCAAATTCGCGTGCCCCACGGCGGTGCAGCGGAATTATCTTCGGTAGACGGTGGTGCATGACAGACGACGCGCCGCGTTGGTGGCGCGTTAAACCAGCCGATCTATTTGTTCGTGCCGCAAAGCAAAGTTCGCCACGCTTTCAGCGGCGTCTCGTTATACGTTCGTTATCTGCTTTCGGCACCGCAATTTCGCAACGTCTCGTGATTTCGTACACGAGACTAATCGTTCTTCCTCAACTTCTCGCGACAACATAATGTCGCAATTTTTAGCAAAACACATGAATTCTTGTGATTTTCATGTATTATAAGAAAGCACATAGCGCCCATATATATATATATATATATATATATATATATATAGAATAAATTTCTATTTATATTATTAATCAAGAAAAATTTTTAAATTTCTTTAAGGAAATTTTCGTATATAATTTGTAGATTACTATATGGGATATTGCTTTACTAATTAATTATTTTGATATCATTAAATGGCAATTTGTATAGCTTGCCATCAAAGTTGTGTGCACAAGCGATCTACTTCGATATTTTGATTTGAAACATCACTTAAAGTGATTGCCTTTAAAACGTTTGTGAAATCTTTCTGTAACACGCTCCTAATCGTTACCACGTTCTACCAGTCTACGGAATGAATGTGTTCCCGCATAATGCCACTTCAAAGGCGTATCTACGTGCGACGATATATCTAATCAAACGATTAGCTTCTGGTTTCCTGTGTTGCTCTCGGGTCGCTAGTCGCTATCTCTTTACCGACGTGCAGTACTGGTTCGCATCCGGCGGCATTGCCCTTCGTACCATCAATTGAAGAGCACATCCAAGTCAATTTCTTCATTTCCCTGGCTTTCCGAGCCCCGGGCAATTCGCTCAGTTGACTGAAATAACACGAGCGGCATTCTGGCACTGCATAAGGTACGAAAAGAGATCTCGCCCGAAGCCATCGCGCGTTCGTTCTTTCCCAAAAACAACTTCAATCCATCTATCGTGCTCGTTCGCGCTTTAACGAAATTTGGAGAAAAAAAAAACGAACCGTTGCCAGAGCTCTATCCTACTGAATTTTTAAGATCTCATCGGCAGATGTGCGCTGGCTGCAAATCGCGTGGAGCGATTCCGAGCATCGATCAATCTCTATCGAATTGCGCCGCGATAGGTATATGGCATGCACTGTAGAAAAACCGTTGAAGAGATTTGAAATTTTTAATTCATGCGTTCGAATGTTTGAACGACGGTAATGACAATGACGATTAAAAGTGCAAAAGGGGATGTATTTTCGTTCTACGTAGTTCGAAATTCCACTATAATGTCCTGAAATACGAAGCACGAAATCGTTCAAATTTGCATGACGCTCGAAGCACTACTACGGTTTCTCTGCTTTCCTACTTTCTTGACTTAATACTGATTACTCGGTACTCACTGCGCTACTTCGCGTTAAGTGCTATTCGTTCTTCCTCCATTCGATTCTCTTCATTTCTCTCATGGATGTTTATTTTCCTATGTCGACGCCCCGAGTAGATTCGGCAACTTCATCAAGCACCTAACTAGATCGACGAGCGAAGTGCTGTGCGCTAGCCAGGAGGAGGATGTTTTCGATTTATCGTTCTGTCAATCAACGCACTCTATCACCGAGAGTTTCCGGTAAAAAGCGCGTTCATTTCACGAGGGGGCTGCTTTTTTTTTGTAGTAAGTTACTTTTGTCGTTGAATTGAGTTTTATTAGGACGGGAAATGAAATCTCAAAGATACGCTCGGCGCTCGGTGCTCAATTCCACGGTTCGTTCGCGAGCGGTTAATTAAATTGCAAACTTGAAATGGCGAAGCGAGTAGAGAGAATCTTTTTGCGACCTTTACGGTTGATTTTATCCGCTAGGAAACAAAGGACTGTTAAGTGAAAAATATCAAACGCGTATACCGTACGTAATTTAGTGTCGCGGTTACATTACCAAGTTACATCTCAAAGTTACTGAGGTTATCGCTATTAGCGATTGGTCAGTGGGGTTGCTCGAAGTGGGACACTGGTCTGTATATCGGATGTTATTCTGTCGCGTGTAAGAAGATTCGACGTCGAATCTTGGCAGCCGTGCGCGTTTTTACGACGGCGCGCCTCTTAATGGCACGGTTAAATGAAAGCGGCGTATTGCCAGATGAAGGTGCTCGATTTAGCGAACGTTTTCGTCTCTCGTGTGTTTCGTTAGGCGCCTAGACGATGATGACTCACATCAGGTTCGTTGCCTCCTTCAACGGTTTTATCGACTTTCCATCGCCAGCGCGCCGAACGGATACGCGCGCGTGCAACCGCCGCGCGGTTTATTGTCCGAATAAAATCTTTGAATCTCATACGCTTTCTCAGAAGCATCTCTCGCCTTGCTGTTAAAAGGTGATCATGTTTACACCGTTCTTTCGAATAAAACTTACGATCGAGATATTGGCAAACGATATGCGGTCGTTGGGAGGCACGATAGCACGCTCATTTGACTATAATAGACGTTTACTATCGTAATATGTTATATAAAAATGCAGGAACAAAAGCGTTTAACCATATTCTTAAATAATCTTTTAATTTATTCTTATGGTTAATAATATTTTATAATATTATGAGAATCTGGGTTAATGCAATCGATTGATTTTTTCATTTTTTGATCGTAATCATATAAATGCAATATTTAAAAACGTCACAACTTTCTGACAAATTTCTACATACATTCTAGATTTATCTTTCATAGAGATAGGCTTATAAATTTTCGAGATTTGTTACGTACATACATTAATATTTTGAAGTGTTGAGGAAAGGTAGAACACTGTCTTGTTAGACAGGCTTTGTGTTCAGGCATTACGTAGGCTTTATACAGACAAGCAAGATTATAGTACAGTACCTAATACGCTCAGTCGATTGTTCGTTCGTTCACTGAGTGAGTTATTTACGAGAATTAAGTCTGAGTTAAGATCTTTATTTAATAGGCAAAGCGGTTTTTTGTTAAAATATTCAAAATATTTAAATAACAAACTTCGAAAATTCATGAACATATCTCTGCTCAAGATAAATACATATATAACGTTAGAATGTATTTATACGTTTGTCAGAAAGTTGTGGCGATTTTTAAGTATTACATTTATGATTAAAATAACGAAAAATATAAATTATTAGATTTAATTCTTGTCAGTAATTTGTCAGTAACCGAATTATGATTATAACGATGTATCGTAATATAAAAAATAAAAATTGAATCGAAGGAAAAATCTAGAATTTCTAAAAATGGAGATAAGAATTGATTAAAAATCCGTGTTTTAGAAAGACGGAATAGACTGCAGAAATAAGTCCTATCGGATTTTGTGGGGGGGGAGGGGGAAGAAATTAAGAAGTTCCTACCTTTGAGGTTGTCCTTTGAGGACACAAATAGCGCGATAAAAGATCTACCCTGAAGGCTATGATACTTTTGTCAGAAAATCATCTCGAAGA